TTTGTTGCTGGTGGGGGGGACATGTCCCCTGTGCTTTTTCAAACTTGCATTTTGGTCCCCTGCACATGTCACTGACAAAAATAATGTTACAGTACACACAAATTCATCCAGCACGAGGACCAAGCGGAAAACCGCAGCTCAAGCTGAAGCCCGCCTTCTGAGTTTAGACCCACCTTCAAGCTCCTGATTGGCCCACCGTTTCAAACACGCTGAAGTTAGTTATATTACAAAATACTTGCATCCCCCCACTTCTAAAATCTTAATTTCTTCCATGTGTCCACCAATGCACTTTAATGGCTTCCACTGCTCAGTGTCATCAGTTCATCCCTTTGTTGTTCTTAGATGTGTTCTTAATGTGTTGCTGATAAACTAGATGACTTTGTAACACCACTGGCTGCAAACATTTAGTTTGAGATATTTTTATTGCTGCAACATTTTTTACAAGCATTTTCACTCCTTGAATTTAAATTAAGGTCACCAAGGCCCTCTGATTTCAGAATTAAAGTCAGAAGAATTAAAGTCAATATGGAAGCATTAAGTGAGCTGAATAATTTTAAAGTTCTTCTCAAAAACAGAAGTAAAAAGACTTATTGTATTAAAACCTGCAACATGAGCTGTTAAATCACTTAAATAATTACCTGCCTGGCTGTGAGCCCAGAGTTCTGACCTTATTCTCAGAATTGAAACTTTAATCCTGGAATTCTGACTGATTCTGACTTTAATATCAGAATTCTGGTTTAAATCTGAAAATAACTGTAATCCAATTTTGACTACCGTACTTGCAATAATTTATACAGTAATCAAAGGGATAATATTTTATTTCTGAGAATAAAAGTCAGTATTCTGAGAATAAAGTCAGAATTCTGAGATTAAAATCAGCATTAGTCGGACTTTCTGACTGACTTTAATCTCAGACCTCAATCTTAGAATTATTCTGATGGAATGTAAAAATATGTTACCAACGTTATATTCCTGGGCTTTGGCACTAGAGTTCAAAGTGAGTTTTAGTTCTTAGAACAATAATCAGAATTCTGTCACAATTATAAGATTAGATTGAAAACTAGTCACACTTCTGATATTGTAGTCAGAGTTATGATATCAAAGTCCGAATTTAAAAGCCTTTTATTTTTAAAGCCTTTTATTTTTAAAGCCTTTTATTTTTAATTGCCCGTATCGTCTCCCTTAGAAATCTTTTAAACTGATATAGTTGGAAAAGGAAATAAGAGATCAGGTTTCAAAACCCTACTTTGAATTTAGTTCAGAATTTCTGCACTCATCATCAAGGGGGGAAACCATACATGCAACTGTAAAAAAGAAAAAAAAAAGAAAAAAACAGAAGGTCAGATCTATTCTGGGAACTCTTCTGAACCTCTGGAGAAGATTTTGTAAAACAAATCTATTTACAAAAATAAGAAAATTAAAGGCTGCACTGTGGAATATGTAGCATTGTGTCCTTGCAGCAAGAAGGTCCTGGGTTTCTACATGTAGTTTGTATCTTCTCCATGTGCATGTGTGTGTTCTCTCTGGGTACTCCACCTTTTTTCCAAAGCCTAAACCATGACATCTGTGCATCTCAATTGGCAATATAAGTTCCCGGCAACACAAAGTTACCTGCAAGTTCCCCCAGGGATCAGTCCTTGGGTCCATCCTATTCATCATTTCCATCCTCTCCCTCGGTCACCATGGAGTCTCATTTCACTTGTTCACTGATGATTCACAACTATAGCATCATCATCTTCAAAACTTACTGCTTGTCTGGAGGAGATAAAGATGTGGATGAAACAACTTTTGTCAGTTGAACAGCACTAAAACCGAGGCAATCCTTGTTGGCACATCACACCAAGCCCAGTCATCCTCCATTATTGGTATAACCATCTCATGACATTCCTCTCTGCACAACAGTCACCAATCTTGGTATAACATTTGATCCACAACTCAGCTTTAAAACCCATAAAAACACCTCTGCAAAATCTCCTTCTATCATCTAAGAAATATTTAAAAACTCAATTTTACACTCACCTTGGCTGATGCAGAAAAACTGGTCCATGCCTTTGTTTCCTCCAGGCTGCACTACAGTAACGCACTTCCATAACAAGAGTCTGCAGAAACTACATTATGTTCAGAACAGTCCTGCAACGACTCTGATGATCCGAACGTACGAGCACATCACACCCATTCTGCACTCACTTTACCTGCTTCCTGTTACTGCAAGGCTTAAATAAAAGGTCTCAACTCTCAGCAACCAGAGCATCTATGGAAATGACCCGCTATACCTGAAGGAACTGCTCACCCCTCTCACTACAACACGATCCTGCAGCTCAAACCACTCCTCCTCCCCAAGACTAAGCTAAGCATCATGGGCCACCGTGTCTTCTGCTCTGCCTGATCATTTGAAGGAACCACAGATTATCCAGCCTTTTAAAAAAAGGATTAAAAACATTTTGTTTTAGCAGAACTTAATGACTGTTAAACTTTTATAATAATGCCAATGCCTCATTTATTCATATGCACTTGACAATGTTTAGTTTTAATTTTTTTGCTCTTACCTTTCTTTGATGATTTTACCTGTAGCACTTTGAGATTTTTCTTAAATGTAAACTGCATTACAAAAGAAATATATTATCATTATTATTATTATTATTATGGGTCAATTGATTACTCTGAATTGCCCTTAGTTGTGTGTTAATGGTTGTAGATCTATGTGATGCCTTACATTGTTGCCCACAGACTGCTGGAGATAAGCACCAGCAGCCTGCATGACCCTCACAGATAATTTGAAGATGATGGATGGATGAAGAAAATGACACACAGACAGACTACTACTGGAGATCCTTCCGGTCTTCAGTCATCATTATCTACAATTCATTGAAGACACTGCTTTAATTTGAGTTACACCAACATTTCATTTATCTTTTGTGATGATTATATAATTTAATTCAATTGCACTGACCCCTATCCTCAATGAAACAGTGAGATGCTGGTATCATTCTGATTTGATTTCATGTAACTTTTCTATTATACGAAACAGATTAGTTTACTGAAATGAGTCTGATTTCAGTCAAAGACTCAACTTTTGAGCACAACCCAAACATTAATAACTTAAAGCCATGGCCTTTGTATTGGCTCAATGCTTGCTGCTTAACGATCTGTTCTGCACCATTGTTCTGCGTTGACAGTGTTTTTTTTTTATTTGGAGTTTAAGTCAAACAACTTGGATAATGTTTTTTTAAGTATTCCATGGGTTTATGAAATAGGCCATAATCCCCGAGCAGCAAAACAGACCCTCAGGATGTTGCTACAAATCATCAAGCAGTGGTCTAAGGTCTGATAGCCTTTTTGCCTGTGGGCAGATCATGGATAGGGCATAGAATGTCATTTTCTATTGTTGTTGTTGCTTTTTTATTATAGCGGGGCTCAAATATCCAAATACATGATTCTGCTGGGAAAGTATCATCAAACCAAGATAAAAGACTTAAATAAAAAGAAGCTGATTCCAGTCCGACCATTACACAATGCAAAGCTACGTACGGTTTAAGCACTTTTACATTATTCTGGGATTGTGTCCCAGATTAGTAGAGGATATGAACTATAGGCTGTTACTAGTTTTATTAAATACCTGAATGTGTTGCAATACTGTGATAAAAAGCAAAATCTTGTTGTGTGTCGCACACACTTACTATTATTATTATTTTTTCATTTCATTACACATTTTTTCATTACACTGTCACAAGACAACAAAATAACTCAGTGCATTTGACCCATCCCCTTGGGGAGCAGTAGGCTGCCATTGTGCAGTGCCCAGGGAGCAGTGTGGGGTTAAGGTTCTTGCTCAGGGACCCAGAGTGTCGGTCAGTGGCAGAGGTTTCAAGTAACAAACTACAAATACTTTGTTACTGTACTTAAGTACACTTTTTAGGTATTTATACTTTACTCCATTACTTATTTTTCTTACTAGTTCTGACTTCTACTCATTACATTTTCACACAAGTATCTGTACTTTCTATTCCTTACATTTTAAAACAATCAATACTGGTTACTCTTGGCTTCAGTTCAATGTTTATAAATGTTTATTTCACGTCATGTGCGCCATCCAATGCAGATCATTGGCGCCATCCACATGTAGTGAAAACTGGTGTAATTGGATGAGTCATATAACGGAAACACTCATTGGTTAGCTATTCGTCAAATTTCTGCTGACGCCAAAGGAAATCTTCAGAAGTCTATGTCATGTCTATTTCATGCTACAATGTCGGATTCAGACAAAGATGTTAAAATGTCTGAAAGGTCGGTCACAGGTGAGAGCGTATTGGGAGATGGAGACCAACAAGAACTCCCTGATCCTTGGCCCTATCTCAAAGAGTTTTTCGAAATAGTCGAGAAATTGAGCTTTCTGATTTTGGCATCTGGCTGTTTTTTTTTTTTAACATTACTTTATACTTTTATACTTGAAGTAGTTTTTTGGGCACATACTTTTTCACTTTTACTTGAGTAAAGAGAAGTCAAGTTGATACTTCAACTTTTACCAGAGTGTTTTTAAACTGCAGTATCTTTACTTCTACTTAAGTAACAAATGTGTGTACTTCTGACACCACTGAACCTTACCCTGCCCCAAATAGGGCAGGGTATGGGGGTATTATTATGGGGGCATTATTGATGCAATATTATTTGCAAATGCTTGCAGAGAGATGTGTATCTGTATCTTGATTTGTGTGTGTATGAGAATGTGCAGTGGGATTTGAAAAAGTGTGCACATTCTCATACACACACAAAAATCTCACACAATTTCAAATTGAGAAACAGACACACAACTCTCTGCACACATTTGCTCATAATATTGCAACAATAATGCCCCCATAGAGGGTGGGCTGTCTGAAGGTGGAAAGTGGCAAATTCTAAAAATATTCTCTCCCATTGTCAATTCGGAGAAGAACTTCATTTCCCAGGGTGCTTTGCGTGACTTCCAAGCCGTGGAAATCCTAATGCGCCTGCGTATCCAGACGTGGCAACGGCATCATGGCCTCCTGGATCCGCTACAGGAGAGAGATGAGAGAAGCGAAAATGTTGGCGCTGGCGCTGCTGGTGAGTGTGTCCAGAGTCGGTTTGGTTACGGCGGAGCTGCACGAGCGTCGCTTTAAATCCCCGCGCGCGTGGAAGAGACTTGGCGTCTGGTGTTGTTATGTTAGGAGGGGGGAGGGAACCTGAATCGGTCTCCTAGCCTCGGTCCTCGCAGCGGCGGCGGGGGGTGAAGTTGACAGCGGCTGAAGTGAAGTTGTTTCCCCCGGATGTTACCGTAGAGCCTCTGCAGGCTGCGTGGGGCTCTGATTTATCACCTGCAGCCTCTGAAGCTGCTCATGTTCATTGAAAACAGTCACAGAGAGCTGAACCACTGGGGACTAGTTCAACTATAACTTTGAATGAATTCTCCATTCATATTTTCCACCTAGTTAAAGAAAAAAACACTTGTTCTGTTTAAACTTCAGAAAGTTCCTAACTTTGGCCCTTGGCTGCAGCACAGTTGTGCAGCACAGTTGGCCCCTCTGGCTCGGTAATACTGAGGGACCTGATGTGAAAACAAAACAAAAACAAAATCTAAAAGAGCTGGATAGTAATAAGCTACATTTACTCAAATATTTGAGGAACCTTAGTGAGAAAAAGGTTTTTTCTAAGAGTTGCTGTCCTGTTTCATACTGACTCTTGTTTCAGAACAGTTTTTTTCTACTTTAATTATTAACTTAATAAGGGAAATTATATTTAAACCAAGCATGCAGGTTTCAACCCTCACAGATTACTATAAAGACTATAAAAACTCCTTGTGTTTTCACAAGCTTCCTTGTTCCAGTGTCCTGTTCTGTCAGCTCAACCTGCCTTTGCCATTTGGAGAGGAAGTGGATCATAATACAGTGCATCTTATGAGTAAAAGCAGATGCACTTTTCTACTGTTCTTATTATGTTATTGTTTAAAATCTCCTTTATTTAAGTGTCCCCCCAGTTTTATTCAATAAAGTGGTTTAATCTGCAGCTTGTACTCCTAAATGGGTTTATGTATCCGGCTTTGCAGGACACGTCACACAAAGCTTATGCAGAAAAAAACTAAACAAACAGTATGAGTAGAGATGCAGCGATGATTGATGTACGGATCTTTCTAATGTGTGCTTTTGGCGTTGGGCGTGTTTGTCATTTTAGGTCTGTTCCACTGCTTGTTGGAACTGAAAGTCAGTCATTTGACTCTCAGTTTAGTTGATTTCAGCATAAGTCGATGTGGGGATTATTATCAGGCAACAGGAAATATTTGTTTTTTTTTTACATTCTGTCTCCTTGAACCCCAGTCGGCTTCAGCAAATGGCCGCTCACACTGAGCCTGGTTCTGCTGGAGGTTTCTTCCTGTTAAAAGGGAGTTTTTCCTCTCCACTGTCGCTACAAGCATGCTTAGTGTGAGGGATTGCATTTGAGTCAATGAATCGATGCAATAAACTGGTTTTCCTCAGAAAACTTTGAATCAATCTGACTGTATGATCTGGTGAACTGTAAAGTGCCTTGAGATGATGTGTTGTGAATTAGTGCCATATAAATAAACTGAATTGAAAGACTGCCATCAATACCTAAATTTATACCAAGTTGTACAATACATTTTATTTTTTACATAGTTTAAAAGTGAGTGGAATATAAAGGAAAAATCACTTTACAGTATAGTACCAGCAGCTTTTATTCCATGTTTCATAGTATTCCATTTAAATATCTGTATTTATTTTTATTTAATTTTTAAACTTCACATCCAGCCAGTCACAGTCAAAGAAACAGGACTGAAAACAAGGCCGATCTTCAACATCTATAAACAAAGGTGTTGATGGCAGCAGCACAGCTGATTTTTCTGTGCAGGATGCTGTCACAGCCAAACAGGACCAGATGAGGCAAAGCTACTATGAGCAAATAGAAGAGAGAGCATAACGTTAGTAGCCTGATGTAGTCCTACTCAATTCTAGTCAGAATATGAGTCTGATACTGCTCCATAGAGCTGTGATTATGGGGCGTGTTTTGAACGAACCAGGAAAAAAAATGCTTCTGCACTCAATTGGACAGACCTACAACCAATAAGAGCAACAGAGTGCGTGACGTATGTTAAGCCAGACACGGTTGTTGTCAACAAAAATCAAAGCGTGCAGTTTCACGCCTAGAATAAGAAGATGAGCTTTGATCGCGTTTCTCTGTTCCTCTTTTAAAATTAATTTGCTGTCGATATCTTCTAGAACAGACCTAATAGCAGAATCTACACACCTCAACTCTCCAGCGGCAGCCATTGTTGTTGTCGCCCAAGCGCGCTTTGGTCACATGGTTGATTATGTTACTGTTGATCATCTGTCCATCATCGTATAAAGCCCGCCCTGACAATTTGATTGGCCCGCCAGATATTGTGCGAGCATACTCGTGCTACTGTTGAGCAATGCCAGACCGAACTTCCCAACCTCAAACGTTGTGGGCGGGACTAAGTTCGGAATGGCACCCAGGCTATAACGTTAGAGATTGAACTAACAGATTCAGCAGAGTAGGAGAATAGAGAGAGGATGAAGCAGAATGATGAAAAAGGGGTCCCTATGTTCTCCAGAAATATAAGCCTATAGCAGCATAACTATAGAGATAGCTCAGGATAACCAGGGCTACTCTAACTATAAGCTTTATCAGAAAGGAAAGTTTTAAGCCTAGCCTTAAAAGTAGATGTGGTATCTGCATCATGGACTAAAACTGGTAGTTGGTTCCACAGGAGAGGAGCCTGATAACTAAAAGATCTGGCTCCTGTTCTATTTTTAGACATTCTAGGAACCACTAGTTGAGAGTTAAGTGCTCTGTTAGGAACATAAGGAACAATCAGATCTCTGATGTAAGGTGGAGCTTGGCCATTTAAGTCTTTATATGTGACAACGAGGATTTTAAATTCTATTCTGGATTTAACAGGAAGCCAATGAAGAGAAGCTGGGATAGGAGAGATATGATCTCTCTTTTTAATTTTCATCAGAACTCTGGCTGCAGCATTTTGGATCAGCTGAAGACTTTTAACTACAGTTTGTGGACTTCCTGATAGTAAAGAATTACAATAGTCCAGCCTTGAAGTAACAAATGCATGGACTAGTTTCTCAGCATCAACCATGGACAGGATATTTCTAATTTTTGCAATATTCCTCAGATGAAAGAAGGAAATTCTAGAAACCTCTTTTGATATGGGATTTAAATGACAGGTATTGATCAAAAACAACACCAAGATGTTTTAATCCCATGCTGTCTAATAATTCTACCGACTGGGAGAATCTATATAGTAAAGAGAATTGGTACTCCACAGGTAACCCTTGAGCATGAGGAAGATTTTTCATTAAGATGAACAAACTGAAATCTATCAGATAAGATTTAAATCAGTCTAGTTCTGTTTCTTTAATTTCTACAAAATATTTAAGTCTTTCTAAAGGAATGTTATGATCAACTGTATTAAATGCAGCGAAGAGATCTAACAGGACAAGTACAGATACAAGTCCATTATCTGAGGGCATGAGAATATCATTAGCAACTTTCACCAGAGCTGTTTCAGTGCTATGATGAGCTCTACAGCCAGACTGAAAGACACCAAAGACACTGACACTGGTAGGGATGATGGGAAAGTTTAGTGGGAGTAGTTTTCAATCAAAGGTAAAACCACCTTTTTGTTGGACGGATGAGGTCAGAGATCGCCTTCAAATGCATGTTAAGTTTCTGTCATTAACTCACTGCTCAGTGTATATGATAAAAAAAAGAGACATTTACCTAAAGACTTCCATAGATGCTTGAATAAATGACTGATTTTTAAGCTGCTTTTCACAGACCTTCACAAAATGCCCTTTAAGGTAAAACTGTGAGCTTCATAAAAATTACAAGGCATATAAATATGCCCATAAAAGCAAGTACGTGTTACATCAAAAACGAACAAGCTGCCGAAATTAATAGAAATAGAAATGTTCTAATGCATGCATAAAACATGTGGTAAATGCCGGAATTGATTAATCTGAACTGTTCTTAAAAGATCCCGTAAATCAAACCAACATATCTGGAGGAATGTTGTTGCACAGCCTGGAGGCACTGCTTGTTCCTGCTAGTTAGCGCTTCTTTGGGAGGAATATTTAAGAAGTTCTGATTTTGTAAAGGGGGATAATGGGAAATGGAATGTTTAGTAAGAAAGTTATGAAGGTTAACTGGTACCAGACCTTTCTTTTTTTTTTTTTTTTTTTTTTTTTTTTTTTTTAGTAAGATTGCTTTCTAGTTGGAATTAATCCTACCTTATATACAAACTGTTTTAATCATGGGATTCGATCAACACCAAGTTGCAGAGCTAGATGGGGGAATAATCTAATATTTAAAATGAACATTTATTGGACTCCTGGAAATGTATTTTCAGCAGATTTAAAAGCGTACTCACTGATATTGCGAGAAACAATAAAGGAATTTCCATGTTTTCAATCTCAATGTGGCTGTGAATTACACCACCAGTCTGTAGGCAGTGAATAATAATTGTTGGGATTCCCCCAGAGAGCCCTGCTACATGTTATTGTTTTACATCCTCACAGTTCAATCAGTCACAGATCGAAATGGGCCTATTTCACTTCATTTGGTTGGACCTGTCAGAACCAATCAAGCTGGTTCTTTTTGTCTTAAAAAATCCTTCTCTTTCAGCCTTTAAGCCATCAGAAAAAGTTCGGTTGTTCGACCCTTTGCTAATTTATGGGCAAAGTAAGACATCGTATCATTGACTAGAACATATACATTTGTTGTTTTTTTTTTGTTTTAGTTCTGTGAAGTATAGAGTTATAGGATGGGAGTGCATGTTAACTGTTGGGCTGCTGATCGTGGAAAATTAGTGCATCATTACAAGTTGGTTGGAAAGCATCACAAATAGTATCAATGTAATATATATGTAGGTAATTAGGGCTAAAACAATTAATCGACTTAAACGTGATTAATTGATTATTGAAATTCATTATCAACTCCTTTAGTAATCAATTAATGCTTTACTGGAGTATTGAGACTAAAATATGTCTTAATGTGACAGAGAAACACGCTTAGAG